TGCATTAACGTCTACAAATAACCAATATGCAGGTATTGTACCATTATTTTCAAAGGTTTCTGTTACTGGAAATGCAACGGACGTATTGTTGCGAATCGTTAATGGAACTGTTGTTTTGTCGTTGATTGTATTTATATCCACACCACCATTAAAGCTGATTATAGAATCGGTAATGATGTGGTTCCCGATGCCAATATTGTTAATAGTTGGCATGACAATGGAAGCACTGCTGCCTGGCGCAATTGATCCGGTCCAGCTATAGGTCTGATAGGTCGCATTGTCCAGTTTGTAATTGATCTGGGCAGATGTTATTGTTGTGCTGCCTGTATTTTTAAGCGTTACTGTATGTGCACTGGAAACAGCTCCTGTAGCACAGGAAATCTTTGTTTCATTACAACCGGTAAACCCGGCGTCTTTAGTTAGCGCCACCCTGACAGACTTGCCAGCCTGGGGGATATGCTTGTCATTATCATTTTGTATCCATACAACAAGGATGGCATTGTCATCGGATTTGTTGATCCAGTTTTTTACCCGGCCGCCGACCGTTATACTTTGAGACTGACCCACAGTCCAGGAGGCCGGAAGGTCAATGCCGGAAGCATTAGGATACATATCACGCACTACGTGGTGAAATTCTGTCTCCCCGTTTGTGCCGGGAGGAGAACAATAGCTTAACGATTCTATGAGGGCAGTGCGCAACTTCAATCGCGCTCCGGCCGGGGCATAAGCAGCAACCGCTGCAATATTAATAGTTGCGTAAACAGAATCTCCATTGGTACTCCATGAGTGCACCGCATTAATATTAAACGGAGCCGGTGTATTGGCTGCATCAATTTGTGCCTGTGTATAAGTTGAAATATTTGCACCAGCTACTTCATTACCGTTCTGATAACCGGTAGGAGCATATCTTTCTCCATAATAGCTGAGACGAGCATCAGCTATTGCCGGATAATTATTATAAATAGGCCCTGCAGTAGGAATAGGCGACTGATATTTGATCAGCATAACCTTACTGGAATTGGTACCTGCATTTAGTAAAGTCCATAATCCTGGGTTGTATGCTGCGCAAGGCGGGCAATTTTCTCCGGAGAATTCTTCGTACAGGGACAGCCGTTGTTGTGCCGTAGCCGTTAAGGTGCAAAACCCCGCAGCACTTAGCATAAGTAAGATCTTCTTCATGATTTTATGTTTTTTAGACTAGTGATGCGAAATTAATGAATTATACATTGTTTTTCAATTAATTGGTTGGCATTCTTTTTTAAAACGAATTGTTAATACCTTTGTCCTGCATACTTCATGTATCGCCTCGGGGTGCCTTAATTTGTCTGGCTGAGATCATACCCGCTGAACCTGGACCGGGTAATGCCGGTTAGGAAAGATTAATGCTTGTTCTATTATCCATTCAATAAAACAGCTTAAAAAATCAGTGGTCTTTTAATCAGTCGTCTTACAGGTGCTTCGCAGTATTTGTTGTTGGATTCATTAAATAACTACATGCGCCATTTTTTACCAAAGTATCTGTTTACCTTTTCTCTTATTGCTGTTGCCGGTACGGTAACTGCACAAACAGCGGATAGTGTTGTTGCTGACAATCTTCAGAATCTGCAGCCCATAGAAGTACGGTCGCTCCGGGTATCCGGTAATGCGCCCTTTGTCAGAACAGAGTTGAAGCGGATTGATATCGAACAACAAAATACCGGGCAGGACCTGCCTTATCAGTTACAATACACTCCCTCAGCCGTTGTGACCTCCGATGCCGGCGCCGGTGTTGGGTATAGCGGGCTGCGTATCCGTGGTACAGATGGCACCCGCATCAATGTAACCCTCAACGGGGTGGCCGTTAATGATGCCGAAAGCCAGGCTACCTTTTTTGTAAACCTGCCGGATCTTGCTTCGTCAACCTCTTCCATCCAGGTGCAGCGTGGCGTTGGTACTTCTACCAATGGCGCCGCTTCGTTTGGTGCTACGATCAGTGTTTCTAACCTGGAGCTGATGAAGGAAGCGGGGGGCGAAGCCTCCATCGGTTATGGCAGCTTTAATACCCAGAAGTACACCGTAAGGGCAGGTACCGGCTTTTCGAAAAATGGGTTTGCTATGGATGTGCGCCTGTCTAAGATCTCCTCCGATGGCTATATGCAACG